CTATGAGTAGTTCTCATTACATTTTAAAAGTGGGTATGAGACAAACACAATGTATTGTAAATGAATAACAACAACAGGAGATTTATACTTGTTTACAGTGTTCATTCTTGCTTTTAAATATTAGAATAGATTTTTTTTTTGGTCAACTTGAGAGAGGAAATTTATGATAACAGGATGACTCCTTAATTTCTGTATTTAATGGCTTTTAAAGATGAAGAGGATGAAATAGGAGTTATTTTTGCATAGTTGAGAGGCTACATTGTAATTAGCTAAACCAATATTTTGTACCCTGCTTATAAATGTAGAGCCGGGTAAAAATAAGTCACAGATGGTTTTCTTGGCTTTTGGTTTTAAATTTTAAGCTTAATTAGAGCTTGAGCATCTTTGGGAATTCTCTGTTTCCCTCTTCATTTTCCCCCTTATATTTAATTCTGCTTTATGAATTAGGGTTTTATATGCATGTGTCTTTGAAGGACTTACTTTCTATGCTGGTTTTCTCCATTCCAAAAATAGAGAATGGTTACTTACTTTTCATATATATACCTTCAGACAATAAATATTTATCGAGTGTACTTTGCTGCCTGCTGGAAATTTGCTGCCTCTGTTTTTCCAAAAGTTGTGTATATGTATAGTACAGTGTTATTTACTAAAGACTATGCATCTTTCTCTGGTATGATATTTAAGTAGAGTTTACTATTATCTTTACTTAATAAATGTTTCCCAAAGTAAATGCACTAATTCATACACCCAACAGTAGTGCTCCACATCTGGAACACTTTTATTGTCAAATTTTTAATGTATGCCCATCTAGTGGCTGTAAAGTACCATCTCTTTGTGGTATTACTTTACATTTTTCATATTTCTCAACAGATTGAGCATATTTTCATGTTTATGTTATTCAGAGTTCCTCATCAGTGAAATGTGTCTCAAGTTTTTCCCATTTTTTTTTTTCAAATGGGCTGTTGTTCTTTCTTTTATTTTAAAAGAACTTCTTTACACATTGTGTAGACTAATTATTTGTGCAAATATCTCCATCCAGTTTACGGCTTGCCTTTTCAATTTATTTATAATATTTTTTTAGAGAGAAGTTCTTACTTAAAGTGGTCAAATTTATTATTTCTTTTTTGTTTATGCTTTTTTAATGTGTTGTTTAAAGAAATTTTCTCTACTCCAAGGCCATGAAGTCATTCTTCTCAGTTGTCTTCTGAAAGTTTTTATAGTTCTGCTTTTAATTATAAGTATTTAATCCTTTGGGAATTTATTATACGGGGTGTGAGGAAGGGATCTGCTCTTATTTTCTTCCTCTTATTGAACACATCCTTATTTTCTCAATAATTTGCAGTGCTATATCTGTCATGAATCATATTCTTATATATATTTGAGTTTCTGGTACTTTCCAGTTAGTTCCTTTGAGTTATTTTCATTACTATAGTTTTATTATGTCTTGTAAGGCAACCCACCTTGTTTTTTTTTCTTCAGGCATGTCTTGGCTATCCTTGTCCCTTTATTTATTTATATACATTTTATAATGAGCTTATTAAATTTTCCAAAAACCCTATTGAGATTTTGGTTTGGATAAATTTAGTCACTAGATCTAGTTAAGGGGAATTGACATTTTTATGATATTGAGGCTATCCAAAAACATGGTTTCACACTCTTTTTATTTCAGTCTTAATGTCTTTCAGAAAAAGCTAAATTATTTTCTCCATAAAGGGTTTATGAATGTTTTCTTAGATTTACTTTTAGGAGTTATATATTGTTTTATGATTATAAATTATGTCTTTGTAAAATCGTCTTTTTTCCTAGATGATTTTTGCTAATTTATAGAAATGCAGCTGACTTTTACATATTGGCATCCGGCAGGTTTGCCAAGCTCTTATTTGGTCAGCCTCTACTTAACATCTTTCTATTTTTTGTCTTTATTTGTTGTGTTCTTTATGAACTTCCTGAAATTATTTAAAAGTTGTACTTGAATATATATTGTTCTAGTGGTCGTGGAATGTAAATATCATCAAATATTGACCTGCAGGAGAGTGGCCTACCTTAAATGGGCTGTCCAAAAAGCCTGATGAATCAGAGCACTGCAGACAGGGGAGGCAAAAGGGGGGCTGTATGACAGTTTTCTTCTGTTTCATGGATTTTTAAAAAAGTGATTCCTTCTGCTGACAGGTTTTGATTTTGATGTTCTATTTTTTTATAGTAAGCTTTTATGGACATCGGATTCTTTTTTCTGTTCATGATTATTTCTGTTAGGTTTTTCTGAACAAGCAATAGCCAGTGAGCGTATGAGAGTGGTGGCTTGGGTAGCGTACTTACTTTATTTCTTAGTTCAGGGAGGCTCCCTTCTCCTGCTCCACTGAACTGCAATACTTTTAGTAGATGGTGCCTTCTGTGGCTGTCATTTTGGCCTGTCTTCAGATTCCTTGATTTCTTCTTGTTTCTGTAGGGCCCTTTTCTGTAGCCCCCTTTTCTTTTTTCCTTACGGACAGCCTTCCTTCCAGGGCCCTCCCTCTACTGCAGAAGTGCTCGCTTCCTAAGACCGCCTTCTCTGGCCCACACCCCGTGACCCTCTTTGACTCCTCTGTCTCCAGCACTCTCATCTCTCAGGCTTTTTGTCTGACCCACTTAAGCCACTTTCCTTCTACAGGTCAATATTTGATGACATTTATGTCCCACCACTAGTAGGACCCTCAGGACTTGCTTTTTTTCATGTTATCACTCAGGTTTGGCTTAGGATCTAATTCTGCTGATTCGTGATCTTTCTTTGGCCACTTACATGTTATTTGAATTTTTTGTAATCTCTTTCTCCTTGTTGTGATGTAGGAATGGGTGATGGGTATTAATCAAAATAAATGCTCTCTTTGTTCATCTGTATGGATTTTTGGAGGATGTGGAGAGAAATTTAAATTCAGGCAGTTGCCATTACTTTATGGGAACCAGCCTCCAGGTTAAAGAAATTATTTTGTAAATTTCTTCTAATCTAGGTGCAGAAATATAGTTATTCTTCAGATCCTATCTGTCGCTATAGAGGCTTAAAATTTTCTTTTGAATTTTATTGAAGTATAGTTGATTTACAATGTTGTGTTAATTTATGCTATACAGCAAAGTGACTCAGTTATACATATATATTCTTTTTCATATTCTTTTCCATTGTAGTTTATTAAAGGATACTGAATATAGTTCCCTGTGCTATACAGTAGGACCCTGTTGTTTATCCGTCCTATATTAAAATTTTTTTTTTTTTTTTGCGGTACGCGGGCCTCTCACTATCGTGGCCTCTCCCATTGTGGAGCACAGGCTCTGGATGTGCAGGCTCAGCGGCCATGGCTCACGGGCCTAGCCGCTCCGCGGCACGTGGGATCTTCCCGGACCGGGGCACGAACCCGTGTCCCCTGCATCGGCAGGCGGACTCTCAACCACTGTGCCACCAGAGAAGCCCTATTAAAATATTTTTTGATTACGTTCTATTTTTAATTTCATTGCCGCTATATTCTCTGATTAATTGATTCTTTACCCCGAACTTTATTGTCAAATTGGGTATGGTTTGTTCATCTTCCAGAATTATTAATTATAATACACCATTTGAGAAGCTTTTTGAAAACGCAGTGGGATTTTGGAGGAGTGGAACCCAGTAACATATATTTGAAAAAGTTTGTCAGTTGATGCTAATGGTTTACTTCAGGGTAAGAACCACTATTCTAGGTTGAAGTCATAATTAGTGTTACATTCATATTCTTGTACATTTTGAGGTTATCCATGTAGCAAACTGTGAGTTTATGATGTTAAGAGATTGGAATTCCATGATAATGATTTTTAATTATCACTTCATTTGTGGATCAAATAGTTGAGATTACAATCAGTGTTTCTAATTGATCATATAGTACATTAATTCAATAAATACTTCATTGAAAGCCTGCTACATGCTAAGTATTATGCTAGGATCCAGGAATACAAAATTGAGAAGTCATCATCCTTGCACTCACTGAGCTTAAAGACAGATATGGAGACATACTGATAAACACGTAAATATAACAGAAGAGCCATGAGAGACACACAGCGTACTTCAGGAGATGATAAGAGGGTGGGATCAGGTGCAGTTTGCCCCTTCCTTCCTTCTTTTCTTTCTTCTTTCCTTCTTTCTTCTCTTCCCTCCTTCCTCCCTCCCTTCCTTTATTCCTTCTTACTGAATATTTGCGGGACACCCACTGCCTACTGGGTCCCGTGGTGGATGTGTTACAAGGCAGGCATAGTCTGTTTTCGGAGTCCACAGCTTTTGCAGAAGATAGATGCTAGATCGCAAGAAGCAGATGAACCTCCAGGGTACTGCTGCAGTAGTAGGAAGTTAAGTAAATTTCCTGGTGGACACATTCCTGAACTGAGAGTCTGGAATAAGTTAACCACATGAAGAAGTTGGGAGAATGATTTCACAGGTTGCAAAGACTCAGATATGGGAGAGAGTGTAGTGCTTTCAAGGTGAAGCAAGTTGTTCGGTGTCCTTGGAACATAGGGTATATTGGGGGATAGAAAGGTAGCTATAGGAGGAATCCCAAAGGAATTTTGTATTCCAGTTCTTATTATGGAGATAAAGTTAAGGATTCATACATCAAATCTTCCTGGGAGTGTAGCGATTAAATTGGGACTCGAAGGATGATAGGAGGGTACTTATAGGGGTTAGAGGGGTAGACAGAGGTAGAGAGGCACAGGAAGACCTACCGTATTCTGGTGATGTAGGTCATTCAGGGTCCTGGGGGATGAAGTGTGAGGTGAGGAGAAGTGGGGATGAGGCTGGGTGGTTAGGCTGTGAGAGGGTCATGCAGGTGCATTTATGGCACAAAGGAGTTTATGCTTTATATTTTATTTGTTCATGGGGCACTAAAAATATATTATGCAATACCCATTCTAAGAAACATACTAAATATTAAGACATATGGGTAACATTTTCATTATAGTTTAATTAAAACTCAAATATTAACGTCTTTATTTTATTTAAAAATTTTCAGATAGAAAATCCTCGGTACCTGAGACAGAAGCCTATCCCAGTTACTTTGGTAGGTGAGAAATGCATTGAACTTTCCCTACAGTCAGATATTTTAAAAGAGAATAATCCTCAAGTTATTTAGAGAAAATAATGCAAGTCCACATTATGAAGCATAATAGTCCTATTAATCCTATCACGTGGAAGTGAATAAATCACTATTTTTCTCCAATATTGGTATTATTTTGGCATGAACTTCAGCCAATTTAGAGTTTACTTTTTAATAAACCAGGCCTGAAAAAGTATTGAATGACTCTTCCTCATTCAACAGATGACTCCCAAATTCAGCCTGAGAAAATCCAGCAGTCTCCAGGAGGATCAGTTACTGTCTCGAATGCATGAGAAGGAGGTAGGATCAAGATATTTCTGATGTATCTAATTTATTAAACAATTTTTGTATTTTGTGTAATGTGAATTTTCTGGTTAGAATAAGGTTGCATGGTAGGAAGAGGTGGTCATTGGTACGGATATAAAATACTGATGCAGGTAAGGCAGGGTTGTCTTCAACTTTGTGTTGCCTGTCTTCCATTTTGTGTGTGCTGGCCCCAGCCTGCTGGACAGATTGCGCTGAGGGGCTCTCTCCTGACTATCAGTTCCTGATTATCAGGGCCTGGGGGGATGGCAGGTTTTAGAAGCAGTGTCTTTGACCTCAGTGAATCTCTTCATCCTCTCTTTATCTCAACTTCCTCGTAATGTATCTTTCTAATTTCACTATTTTTACTGTTTCTACTATTTTAAATTGATCTGCTAAATTCAGCTATGCTAGAGCTGCTATAGGACACAATGTGCTATCTTTCTTTGATCATTTGAAAATAGAATTATTAAAGAGGCAGTGGTGTTTATTGGTTAAGAGCAAAGGCTATAGAGTCAAGAATATGTGGATATAAATCCTCCTTACCAGCTATGTGAAAATGGGCAGATACTTATCCTCCCTGAGTCTCAGTTTCTTCATCTTACTTGGGAGATGTCTGCTTTACAGGATTAGTAGGAAGATTTTGTAGTCTTTGGGTACCTGTGTACTCCACGTGTATAATAGTAGTCATTAATTTGCTTTATTATTTTCTTTTAAAAACTTTTATTCTGGAAAATTTTAAAATCATTATTATTATTTTTATGCTTATGACACCAATGAAACACTGGTCATCTGTGTAGTACGATGAAAGACAATTAGGAACCTGAAAAATTATGTTCTTTTTTTTTTTTTTTTTTTGGGGTACGGGGCCCTCTCACTGTTGTGGCCTCTCCCGTTGCGGAGCACAGGCTCCGGATGTGCAGGCTCAGCGGCCATGGCTCACGGGCCCAGCCGCTCCGCGGTATGTGGGATCTTCCCGGACCGGGGCACGAACCCATGTCCCCTGCATTGGCAGGCGGACTCTCAACCACTGTGCCACCAGGGAAGCCCCTGAAGAATTATGTTCTTAATCTGCCTTAACCATTTTCTAGTTATATGACCCAGGGAAGTCAAGAATATTAGTTTAATTTTTGTTTAAACAGGGTTGTTACGAAGTCAAATGAGAACAGTGAATATGTATCTAACTTGTAAATGGTAATGCACTATTTAAATGGGCAAATTGTGAAAAATATTATTGGACTTAGATTAATGGTTCTAATTAATTTATTTCAGTAATTTTATCTTTCATTTTAATGGGAGGCTTCTAAGAATTTCTGAAATTTAATTTCAATTTGGGTATTTTCAACATGATAGAGTTTTCTTACCATCCTACTTATAAAATATCACAGAAGACAATGATATTTTTCTTAGATATTCCAAACAATATCATGAGCGTATAAGTTTATTTTTGTTGATAACAGAGGAGGAAGTGCTATTTTTTCTTTTAAATTTCTTTTTTTAAAAAAGTATTCATGTATTTTAATTAATTGATATTGGAGTATAGTTGCTTTACAGTGTTGTGTTAGTTTCTGCTGTACAGCAAAGTGAATCAGCTATACGTATACATATATCCCTTCTTGTTTAGATTTCCTTCCCATTAAGGTCACCACAGAGCACTGAGTAGAGTTCCCTGTGCTACAGGGTAGGTTCTCATCAGTTATCTAGTTTATATGTAGTAGAGTATATGTGTCAATCCCAATCTCCCAATTCATTCCACCACCCCCCCTTTTAAATTTCAATCTGGTGGAGTGACTGCTGCTGATCTCAGTAATATTCCGTCGTTTTATAGCTCCAATTTAAGGTATGCAGGGTTTGTTCCTTAGTGCACTGCTAGTGTTTGAAGAACCTGTTGAAATAAAAAGAAATTACACTCTAAAAAGTGTTTTTGAGGGTAATACTTACATTCAGATGCACCTTCTTTGGAACCCTTGTTTCGAAATTCTTTCCTTTTTTTTTTTTTTTGTGGTACGCGGGCCTCTCACTGCTGTGGCCTCTCCTGTTGCGGAGCACAGTCTCTGGACGCTCAGGCCCAGCGGCCATGGCTCACGGGCCCAGCCGCTCCACGGCATGTGGGATCTTCCCGGACCGGGGCACAAACCTGCGTCCCCTGCATCGAAAGGCGGACTCTCAACCACTGCACCACCAGGGAAGCCCTGAAATTCTTTCCTTTTAAAAAAATTGTCATTAATTGTTTTTACACGTCATTCTAAGTCATTACCAACTATTTTTCCTTTTCCTTTTCCTTTTACTGTTGAGAGTGCTTACCATAGAATAAATAATTGAAAGGACCTGGTGTCTTTTTGAATTTTTTTTTTGGTGTTTCGTGAAATAATGTCCTTATTCTTTATGATGGCAACTTGGGTCAGGGGTAAACATACCAAGGCTCCCCACATACGTGTTGAAAGAGAAAACATTTAAAGCTATTGTGTATTGCATTTGAGATTCATAATTTTAAATGTGTGTGGCTTTATTTTTTTCCGCACCCTTATGTTTTTGTTTTTCTTTTTGGCATACTGTAAAAATATTTGTGGCATCATTGAGAAGTTTGCAGGTAAACATCAACTTACACCATATCTTAAAATATATCCAGTGTATATTTTGGCTAAAATAACTCTTTGTGTAGCTACATAGTCATTTCTGACTTTTTTTTTAAACTCCTTTATTAGAGTATAATTGCTTTATAATGGTGAGTTCGTTTCTGCTTTATAACAAAGTGAATCAGCTATACGTATACATATATCCCCATATCTTCTCCCTCTTGCGTCTCCCTCCCACCCTCCCTATCCCACCCCTCTAAGTGGTCACAAAGCACCGAGCTGATCTCCCTGTGCTATGTGGCTGCTTCCCACTAGCTATCTGTTTATAGTTGGTAGTGTATATATGTCCATGCCACTCTCTCACTTCATCCCAGCTTACCCTTCCCACTCCCTGTGTCCTCAAGCCTGACTATTTTTGATGAAATTTTTTGATCATATTTTTTTCTCCATCCTAAAATATTTAAAAGTATATGCTGAGTTGCCCCAGTGTGAGAATTGTCTTAGTTTCATCTTTCTTTTAAAGTAGTATTTGTGATTATAAAATAATTTGTGGATTTTTATTAAAGAAAACTTGGAAAATATAGATGTATGTAAAGAAAGAAATAAAATCATCTATGAAATAAAAACACTGGTAAAATGTCATTGGGTTGTCTTTTAGTCTTTTCTTTATGTATCCTGTAAACGTGTTATTTTTCTTTAGAAAATTGAGATGATATCATATACATTGTTTTGTATAACTCAAGTATTTTATGCTACTAAATATTGTTCCTAAGCATTTATTTTCAATGGCTGTATTATAGTTCATATTATACAGTTATCCCCAGTTAATTTAAATTATCCCCATTGTTGGGTATTTAGGTTGAGTTTTCACTAATATAAATAATTCTGGGAAGAATGTCCTTAGATGTCTGTCTTTATAAGCATTCTAAATATTTCTGTGGGGTAATGAATTATGTCTTACATGGTCAATTGAAATAATGGATTTTTGTAAGTTTAGTGTCATAAACAATTTAACCTCTAAAATAAAAATTAACGTTGGAAGTGTCATGAACATTGTATGTGATTATAAGGTACAAGTAAAGGATGTATTATATGCAAAAATGAGAATGAATATAAAAAGGCAAAGATAATTAGGAGCCATTTGAAGGTAGAGGAAGGTAGCAGTTTAGATTGCCTTTTGTAAATATAAGATGACTAATTATATTTTTAATACAGAACATGTATTTTTTTAAAGTTTTTTTCAGTTTCAGGAGATAGTTTTTTAATATTTTCATTTTTGAAAATAGAGAATACTAATCATTAGAAGAAAGATATTCAGACTTTAGGAAAAACATTGATTTTTAGCATAGTATCTCTATGCTAAACATAATATAACTGTTAGAGATCATGGTGTTTCCCCTGTTCTGGTCACTGGAAAGATCAGAGCTTCCACAGCATATTTTCAGTAACTGTAATATTTTATGACATGTACTTTTGTGTGCTGTCCTAAATCTTTGTCCTTAGTGGTCTCTTTCTATTGCATATTCTTTTCAATTTTTGGTCTATGTACTTTAATCTTATTATATTTGTATATATCAATATTTCTGTAACTGTATCAAATTCTTTCTAGAATGGTGCATGAATAGATGGATAAATAAAAAAGTCCATTTGCAAAAAAAAGAATTAACAAAAAAGAAAATACCAACCATACCGCTTTAATATTTTTGTCTGTTTTCAAGAGATAGTTTTCTAACTTGGATTTTTCCCTAAACTTAAATGCATAGTTACATTGTGATGTGTGTAGTTATCCTTTAGAAGGATGATCTTATGTCTAATTGATTAAGTCACTTTTGTTAGACATATACTTATGGGCATGAGGATAAATGCTTTTCTGTTTTGAAATTTAGCAGGCTCTTGCATGTTCACATCAGACAACCCTGATGTGTCTTGTACATGTTCTCATCTACAAATGCTTTTGTTGTTGCTGGGTGGCGTTTTAAAAATAAGACATAGCATTGTTTCAGGTGAGTTAAGTTTATTTTAAAATTAAATATTAAATGAAATAGTAATCTTCATTTCCTCAGCACCTGATTTTTACAAGGTAATCATTCCAGAAAATTTAACATGTATTCTCTTTAAAAGTTTCCAGGAATATCTCATTTTTAAAATACAGATAAGATCCTAGCGCATACTCTATATACTGTTTCATTTTGCTTTTTAAATGCTAACATATATTCTGATGATTTTTTTATATCAGTAGTATGGCATCATCTTTTTAAATAGTTGCATTGTATTTTATTTTACTGATGGACCACATTTTATTAATATAGATTCCTATTGAGGGATAGAGGTTTGTAGAGTATTTTGCTACAACAAATAGTGTTTCAAGAATATCCCTGTGTATATTTTTATGTATTGCATATTTCTTCTTATACAATAAAT